CAAGTACGTTTACACAAGGAAAGTCGAAATTTATCTTTTTCCGTCTGTTACACGTTTTGTTTTCACGGCAATTTGTCCTGTTATATGAGGTCTCGAATTTGCCTGGTTTAGTAGTTCTCGGGTGAAAGGAAGATGGAAAACTGGACGAATTTTAACGCCCGCTCCAAACCGTTTTCGGCTACGGCATAAAAGGTTTCCTAGGATGAGTCATAAGTTTTCATCATTGCATCATCCTGTGGGAAAACGGGTGAGGTTCATTACACGTCAGTGACTAAAATATTTATTTCCGAATAAAGGAACTGATATCATGTATCATGCATTATCGACTCATTTGACTTCGCGTCAAATGTGGACCAGTATAACATCTGCCTAAAATAGACAATAACACCTCTCTCATTTATATTCGGATTAAATTTCCCATTTCTTTCTAATTGTGTCTATATTGTCAGTGGAGCATCACCATTGTAACTCGTAACCCTTGGACGGAGCCACGAACATATGGTCAATTTAGTATGTACATCGCATTCTTTTAGTTCCTAATGAAAACAATACCTTCACAATACGCTCTGGTAGTTATGGTTACGCCTACATTCATCGTTATGATGTCAATAACTCGGCTGAAGTTCTTGCAATATCAAGCAATTCCCCTCCTGCTAAATTTCGTTTCATAAATCAGAACGTGATACAGGAAATAAGCACAGGAAAATGTGTCACAAAAAAGACCGACGCCTACCTGAATCTTGCCTTTATCTGCGATGGATCTTTCGCTCTCAGGTGGCGTTACGAATCCTCTACTGAATCTTTAGTTTCTCTGAATTTCAAAGAAAAGCTCTGCTACGCCGCGTGGAAAACATCGGCGCCTCCTACAGTCAGACCAGGTTTGGGTTACTGCAGCGTTTCTGGCAAATATGTCGTTTTGGAAGGCTATAAGGATTGACAAGGATTGAGTTTACGAGGTCATATGATTTAATAATTATTACACACTGTGTCCGGGTGTACGACCACGTGTTTTTCATGTTGCCAAAATTTGGTTTTCGAACGTAATGAATGTTAATGCGCATCTATTAACCATATTTTTAATTTGTCCGTAATTTTTTTATTTTATACGTATTATGTACGACTCCATTAAGGGCGTGCTTTCAGAACATGAAACCTTAGTTTAAATTTTATTAGACCAAAAGATTGATAACTTTATTTTGGCTCGAGAGTATCGCAATTCACTTCATGTGAGAATACCTATAAAACAATGTAGAACAATCAGAAGTAAAATCGTACTTGTTTGAGCGGAATTTTTTCACATTGGGGGCGATTAAGCGACAAGTTAGCTATCGTCTTTTCGCCTTTCCGGCACAGCATAGCCTAGCTCACCGCGAGTGCCACATAAAAAAGTTTTTAGATCAAAAAAAGAGCGAATGTGAGAAACGAAGAGGCATATATGTATGTCCAAGACTTTAAGACTTTATTGCTATATATAGACTCAAAGCCTTATTGCTATATTTTATTGTGGTGTTCAACTGGGAGAGGTTTAGGAACTGGTTTACGTCACAACATTATCGTTTTAAATTTAGAACCACCTTAAATGAGATGGATTTCAAGTTTTACTCTCACAAGCAATGTGCAAAGGTGCAAAACATTCTCCTATAACCCGTGCATAAAAATATATTTTTCATATTGACGAATAAGTATGGAAATAAGCCATAACGCGGCCGGGAACGAGGCTCACGGTTTTGGCCCTTTAGCCTCGTTCTCGTGGTATGGCTGATTTACACATTTATTGGCCAAAACAAAAAAAAATTTTCGTACATGTGTTGAAGCAGGATGTTTTGCATGTTTGCGCGTGGTTCGTGAGCGTAAAACTTGATAGCTGTCTCATTCGAGGTCGTTCTAAATTTGAAACGTTGTGACGTTAAAATGTTTTGATGTGATTACCGAAAAGGTCTTTTGCTTTGAAACCAAGCTCAATGCTTTGAAACCAAGGCATTACATAACAGCAATTGTATAACTATATAAAGTATTATAGGTTCGTTATTAGTGTAGCTCGTCCTGATTTAACGAAGCGTAAAATGGACTTTGAGGTTTTGAAATGAGTAAATAACTTGATTGTGGTAGCGGTGTGATCATCCTAACAATAGCATGTCATTGTTGTGTTTCAAAAATAACTATTTCAATACTTCAAATATAAAAAAATACAAAAAACTTTACGCTTCGTTAAAACTTGGTAACCGGGCTCATTTGAACCAACAACCCCTTGTTCTCATGAGCCTGGTTACCGAGATAAGTCTTTTTGAAACAGAACAATCGCATGTTATTGTGAGTATGATAACACGACTACCAAAATCGTGTTTTACTCATTTCAATACCTCAAGACCTCGTTTGTTGATCGAATGTCATTTATCGAACTGTTTAGACCTCTAGCGGTGAAATTCAAACTTTCTGGTAGATTTTTGAACTTGATTTTCGCAGTGAACACACACCTTGGCAAGGCCTTCCTGCATAATTATAGCTATACATATATCTGAATACGACTGAAAAGTCTGTAGATTTCCATTACTAAACCCTGGCTGTTCAAGTCCATCTACACTGAAAAAATCAATTTCATCAAAGCTAGACGTGTATGTATATAAGAAGTGAGTAAATAATATAGTAAGTTTGCACAAAGCCTAGGAGTTAGAAGTGGCATGACGTATGCCTGTAGAATTATGTAAAAGTTTGTTGTTAATGTTTTATCTGGAAAGAATAAAGTGCTAACTTGGTGTTATGTTCACAGAAATTTGTTTTGATTTGTGATTTTGAGCCTGAAATATCGTTACATTCGTATTTTGGAGACATATTATATAGGAGACTACTCACAACGGTGAATGATATCATGATAGGATTTGGGAATAAGGTAAAAAAGGGCTTTACAAAAATACAAATATGGGCATCACCATAGAGGTGTGGCATAACAAGCAGACTAAAAACTTCATCATTGCTCAGTTGCAATTAAGGTATAGGCCTGGGAACAAGGACTTAAAAAGAACGATTTGGTAGGTGGTTGTTTATTAATATATGTTATTCAGTTCTTCCAAACGCATTTCTTTTGTAAGTGCATTTGTTTGGCCGCTATCTTCGAAGCTAAATTTGAAGATAGTTTTTCTGATTTTTTGAACGTTTGAGACAGACGCAGAGAGTAATTATCTAGGAACGTCAAGAACTATGTGAAATACAGTCATTTGCTAATTTTTCTAAGAATTGAACGAGAAACAAAGACAAAAGCTCTGTTTTTCAAAATGTTTTTGCTTTTAATTTTTGGCTTCAACCAAATATAGCGCTGGCGTACGTTCCGGTATTACAGCTCACTGGTTCACAATACCCAGATGTAATTCCCAAACTCTGGGTGAAATTAGTACCCTCGCTCAGCGCCGGTATTGTTTCCTAGGTGTATTAATGGCGCTTGGGTCTCGTTAATATTAATCGATTAGTATAATGGCACTCATTAGTATATTAGTGTAATAGTGTCTAATTGTGTATAATTAAGTATTAGTGAACATAATATCTAGCTTGTGAAAAAAACTTCAGTATTTGTCTTGTAAGCGGTCGTAGATACATTACATGGTGGCAACGGTTAAAGTATAAAATTGAAGGTTTTATTAAACCTAGTCAAATATCCTTTGAAGGGAGCATAGCCGAGAACTGGAGAAGATTTAAGCAGAAATATGAGATATTTCTTGTAGCGTCGGGCTATCAAAAGAAATCAAACACAGAGGTTGTATGCTCTTAAATCTCGCAGGAGAGCAAGCGATCAGGGGCGGATCTAGGGGTCGTCAAACCGGTAACGCGACTAACGTAAAATTTGCAAAAAAATGATAAAAATTCGACTTTCGAACAGTAGTCCCGTTATCTTTATCATACAGTGCAGCTATGGCAACTGAAGATTATGTTTCGTAAGGCAGAGCAGTCCAGTTACTGCAGAATCTATTATCATACAGCATTAGTATTTACTAATCTAATCTTAGTAAAGTTGTCTAGAGTTTAATCCAATCAAATCTCAGTGGTCCAGTGTTTAACCGTGCTTACACAGTACAGTGACTGAGCCGACGAGCAAGGTTAAGTCATTGAACAGCTGGCATACGCACAGTCGACCGGGCAAAAAGTCAAAATCCAGCGTTCTGATCAGCCTAGACTATTATTACCATGGCAACTAGTGATTTTTCACAATTTTGACCGATCTGTGGGGAGTTTTGACCGAATTACAAAAGTCAGGGGCGAGGTAATCTGATTAATATTTGACGCGTGCTAAAGTCTTTGTTTCGCATGCTTCTTCGAACTGTCAAGTTGTATTCGAGGTTATCAGAAAGTTGGAAATGTCCGCTATTAAGCCTGTGGCTACTCTGTACTCAAATTGCCGCAAATTGCTTGTTAGAGGTGGGAAAAACGTTTCCGAAAAGTGAATCCTGAACCCCTCATGCAGAGAGACCCCCTAGAGCTAGCTTATAATCCGAAAATTTTGACTAACGTACGAAAAATCTTGGATCCTCCCCTGCAAGCGATCAAAGTACATAACACGTTTACGTAAAGCAAGAAAGAAGAACAAGACGATCCAGCTGTTTTGATCGAGAAACTCGAAGCATATTGCAAGCCAAAGAGGAATAAAACATACGAACGGCATTTATGCAATACCCGTATGCAAGGTGTGAATGAAACCATTGATGCGTATTGCGTACATTAGACTACAAGCTTAGAACTGTGCATTCGGCGCTCTTTGTAACGAACTAATTCGCGATAGAATCGTAGTTGGAGTCTTAGACGATGCAGTACGAAGTAGATTACTTCGCGAAGCTGACTTAGATTTGCAAAAAGCTTAGATATTTGTCGAGTAGCTGAACAAACTTGAAGCCACATGGAAGCCTTAAAAATGCAACAACGAGCACAATAGACGAAGGGATGAAGGACAGTTACGGTCAAGCGTGTCGACTCGAAGACAAAGAACAAGCGATCGCCCTACAAAGAGCAACTGGGAAATGTTCAGTTCAAGTACTGCGGGACGTTACATCAACGAGACAAAAACAAGTGCCCAGCAGTTGGAAAGACTTGTGAGAAATGTGGTAAGAAAAAATATTTTGCCAAGGTATGTAAAATTATGATAAAAACTCTTTCACTAGACACTCATCGACTGCATGTAGGTGCGTTGGAACAGCATGCAGAAAGAGATAAATAGTGTTAGCAGTACAGAAGAAGAGTGGAATATAACAGTATAAGTTTACAATCAGCCTTTAAAGTTTAAACTAGATACTAGCACTAAACTTGTTTCGTATAGTGGAAAAGTGATAAAGCTTGAAGGAACAGTTGTATTACCAGTAAACTATAGAGGCAGGCAGTATCCGCTCGAGTTCTATGTTGTGAACAAGCAATCTCAGGACTGGAAGCTTGTGAAAAGTTAAACGTTATAAAAAGAGGTGGTCTCGTCGCTGGTTACGCTGTTAAACCAAATAAAATCCGTTTAGGCATGGATCCAAAAGATCTTAAGGAGGCGGTGAAGAGAGAGTATTATCCAATGAAAACTTTCGAAGATGATCTGACTAGATTACCTGAAGCCAAGATATTTTCGACTTTGGATGCTACAAGTGGATTTTGGCAAATCCCTCTGGATGAAGAGTCCTCATTTCTGACCTGTTTCAACACTCCATTTGGACGTTATAGGTCTAAAAGCCTGCCCTATTTCGCATTACATCTGCTCCTGAAGTCTACCAACGAGTCGTGGAAGAATCGTTTGGTGGTTTAGAAGGCAGTGAAGTGATTGCTGATGATTTAATGATTTGAGATGTAATGACGATGAGCAAGACCGGCGCCTAAAGAAGGTTCTCGATTGAACCCGAGAAGTTCAACTGAAATTGAACAAAAAGAAATGCAAGTTACCAGTTACGAGTTACGGAGGTGTAGTATATCGGACATACGATCACGTCGGATGGAATCAAGCCAGACCAAGAGAAGGCACAAGCCATTCGGATGATGCCTGAGCCAAGTACGATTTACAAGTTACCTACAAGAAAGGCACCGAATTATTTGTAGCAAATACCGTGAGCAGAGCTTATCAAGTGGTCGATCCAAACGATACACCCTTAAAGAAGAGCTGGAGATACACATGGTACTGCCTGTTTCCCCGTAAAGCTGAAACGGTTACAGGAGGAGATACAAAACGGTCCAGTCTTACAACGGTTGAAACAAGTTATCGTCGACGATGGGTGCCCATGCATAACGCAAGTCCCTTTTATCCTCATCTATCCAGAGCTATTGGGGCTGTAAAAAAAGCTGACCATCAGTGATGACCTGATCTTCAAAAGAAACAAGATGGTAAATTACGGCTGTGTTGCGGAAAGAAATGCTCAAGATTGTGGATCAACCTCACCTCGGAGTTGAAGCAAGTAAACGACGAGCTATAGAACCTTTATCTTGGCCTGAAATGAACCAAGAGATTGAACAGCTAGTCAAATCCTGTAGCATATGTAACCAAAATAAGCCACAGCAACCATCCGAGCCACTGAAGCCCCACCCGACTCCGTCTAGACCGTGGCAGCGCATTGGAGTGGATATCTTTTTCGCGCCAAAACCTCTCTAGTTCACAGGCCAGACAGCCATGTTAATTTCAAAACAATCGCAAATAAAAAAAAACATTCAGAGACACAAGATCATATGTTTATGTTTACAACTAATACGAAATTGGGGTAGAAAAATGTGCGATCGTCGAAAGAGCTATAGGTTTTCTCTTTTGCTCTTTGGGCGAATTCGCTCTTTTTCTCCACAATCATCATCAAACGTACCCCCATTAAAAAGGCGCCGTGAACGTTTTCATTTACGATAGGTAAACAAGTGAAAATCGTTGAATTCCGATGCTCAAACAATTTCGAAATGGCAGCCATTTCGAAAAGAATACAAATGATACTAAACTACCATCATGCATTGCGCTCCTATTCCTATAAGGTAAAAGGTCAAAGTAAGTCGAGGATTGTTTTAAAACCGCATGTCCGTCATATGTATGTACATTACCTAAGAGAACTAAAATGATGATAATAACTATATATAAAAAAAGAACACGTGAAATGTTATTAATCTATTTTATGTACTGACACCTACTTTCTAAAGATATTTTAATGTCAATTTCAAACTAAAGCCCATAATTCATTTACCGAACATAGAACATAATTATTCTTTAAAGTTCATAATTATTTACATGCATGCAATAATAGACATACTTCAATGTAATTATACTTAGAAAAGGTTGAAAGTGCTCTCTACATGAAGAGGCAAGTAAAATTTACCTATACTTCGCAACAATCGAGTGTAGTGTAAACGGGGCTTACACTTCAAATAAAAACGAGTATTCGGGACGAAACCCTTGACATTAAAACCCCGTGCATACTGCTCTATCTCTTAATTATATTTGAGCGCTGTCATTTATCTCTTAAGCTGTCATGAACTATATTGATTGCGAATGGCCAAAAATGACATTTATGCCCATTATAATTTTTGTGACAAATCAAATACTTATCCCATGTCACGCTAAGACCCTGTTGATACTATACCGGATTCACATGTTCACGAAATCGTTTTAAGGTGTTTTACGATATCTTTCTCCACAAAACTTTTTTATTCTGCAGATCATGTTAAAGCAATGATGATATCAAACTTTTGGCAGTAAAACTCCCTCTGACATGGCTAATTTTGATGTCGTGACAATGGGAATCTGCTATTGTTCTACTATTACTAAACAAAATTATAAAGCTTAACACGGAGTGTCTCGCGAAAATTTTGTATTTTTGGCATGGCTAATTTAAAAATACTTTGGGAACGGGTTAAAATTACCCAGAGATCCAAGTACCAAAAAAGGGCCAAAAAAGTCATAGTTTATCTGTTTATGTAATTTTGCTCCACGGCAATGAAATAGTGCATCTTGGATGCCTTTACTGCATGTAAATCAATAGTATGATAATGGCAATTAGTACGGATATTGTGAACTTCATACTATTTCTATAACATGAATGTTCACAAGAAATTTCGAATGCGTATACAAACGATTGAGCAGTTGTATTAAGAGATATGGGAAAATTGATCCTGTTCCTGTTGTTGTTAGACATTTACGTTTTAAGCCCGTCTCAAACGTTCAAAGAACTCATGGAAAAAAACACTTTTATATTACAGTTCGCTGAGCTTTATGTTAATTTCTAACATGCATTAGTCATTTTTCGAGAGCTTTCTGACTAGAGGGCTGGTACTACAGCCACTGTCAAGACATTCCTTGCAGCTGATGTTGCTAGACATTTCACTCTCAAAGGAAAAGGCATTCAAATAGAGGTAAGATAACAGTTATATTCTATGTATAGGAATAAAAAGCCTTGTAGAAAGGTTACAAGATGCATGTTTTTGATTTAGAAATGAAGAGAAATGTAAACAAACCGAGCAAACAACTTTCTAAAACGTGTATTATTGCCAAATGATAAAATTGTGTTTATATTCGAGCAGCTGACATTTCTATATAGGTACATGGAATGCGATCGTTTATTTTGGCATGTTATGCATGTGCAGAAAAAAATTATTTGAAGAAATTCTCAAAAAATATTGGCCTTTTTATAATTATTGGCCTTTTCGCTTTCAAAAATTCTAAAAACTTTCCTTTCTCCGAGAGAACGTCACTGCTGTTGCTGGCCATTTTAGAACGTTTACTGCACTGCACATAAAATTATGTAACATTTTTCAACCATCATGCAACAATATAGTGTTCCACATATCCCATATCGCCTTCAATCATACGAGTTATACCCTGTTCAAGTTTTAACATGCATGAGAATCTGTGCACCGAATTTTGCCATGGAGTAGCTATTGCTGTTTTGTGAGGAATTAAAAAATGATATTATATGAACGACCAACTGTATTCGAGGCATGTGATGTATTTCCTTGCTCAAATGCATGTTACACGTATGATGACCAGTCTCATCTTCTTCATGTATTTTGGTTCAATTCTGGTCAATTGTAATGATAACATTCCATTTCGTAACCGTCACTTAAAGAGCTAAAAGACGAGATGAAAGACTGGCGAGAAATATATATGCTTCAACAAAAGTCGACATGAAATCAATATTTAACTAAGTTGTGGAGATTCGTACAAACAAATTGTGTACCTATAGCGCTGAATGATGTTTGCATCACGAAAAATATCGTGTTTGGAAAAAGCTATTAACTTGAAGCGGTAATGATTATTTCAATGATTTCAATTTCAATTATTTCAAATGACAATTTCAATTTTAATGATATTGGTTTTCAAACATTATTTAAGACGAGCAATTTTCTTTTTCGTTCCACTTACTTGTTGGCGCAGGTGCATGCATGTATAAAGGCTTTTAACTCTAGCTACTTTTTTACGCCAAATATGTACCCATAATAAATTTTGTTAGCATCTGGAGACGCATGAAAGACTAGGCGCATTGCCGTGCCGATTGTATTTTGAACGTTCAGACTGTAGTAAGATATGAACACTAAGGAATTGGGTACGGGTACTAATTCTAGCCACGCCGTGCCTAGTTGTATTTGAAAAGTGTATGCGACCGTATTTATCTACGTCCTAGTTCAATCTCGAAACCGGAGCCTGCGATCTAGATGGATCGTGGGCTCTGGTTTCGAGATTGCGTCCCAGTTTTGTCTCCCAAGAGTTGTGGTGCACAGCTTTGGCTAATTTTCCGATGCGCGATTTGATTTCGTTCGCATGATACGGCAATTCCTCCAAGAGGAACAAATAAACCGTTCTTTTGATGCTGTTATATTTAGTTTAGATTGAATTGGAGTGAGAAAATATTTAATACATATCTTCCGGTCCTATTTTAATAATTCCGCCACTATTTCACTGTTTAACAAGATGTGGTCGTGTATAGGTGGGTAAACACGTCGCAGTTTGCACAAGATTGAAGATTTAATATAACTATATAAGCGCGAATTCCAAAGGCAAAGTGTAAGACAAAGTGAATGTATCATGCGGTTTATTTACATTTTTGAACAATTGAACTTTTATACTTTTTAAAGTACGATGTGCTTCTTAATTTCGCGATCGAACAACATTTAGGTTCGCAAGGCATCTAAATGAATATGAACTGTATTGTTTATGTTCAGAAGCTTTATATTAAAGACTGGCACGTGCGCGGCACGCCGAAGATAACGCCAAAAGAGGCGTCTTGTTTCATAAAAAATTGTAATGACTACAAATTTCTTATTTGAAAATTATGCGCTTTTTCGAGAACGTTCTGCGACTATAGCGGCGTAGGACGACAGTTAAGGCAGCTGCTGTTGTTAGATATTATATTGCTCCCAAAAGTAAAAGGCGTTCAAGTTAAGGTAGGATAACAGTTATATTCTATATGATTATTCTCGCACTCAAAATACTAAAATATCACGGGTCACAAGCTTGCTTTTTATATAAAGTATTGCGAATAGAAAAGAAATGTCCAAAGGGAATTCAAACATTTGCAAATGATAATCAGGTTGGCGATGCAAATTTCAGTTGTTTTGAATCCTAAAAATGTTTTTTAAGTTAGGTTTTAGCTCTAACCAATGAAACAAAATCAGTACATTAGAATCAGAATATTACCGAATTTTACTATCGTGTATAGTAGCTAGCGTCTCGCATTGCGTTTATGCATGCAAATATTTACATCTCTTAAAAAGTTCTTTAATTAAGTAAGTTTTTAGCTTTAAGTGATGAAACTAAATTGCTGAATTTTGCTATTGTGCATAGTACTAGCTATAGTTGTTTCCATGTATTGACCCAATCTAGTTTTTCGACCCTGCGATTCCTCTGAAAGAAAAGAAAGGCTAGCTCTGCGATATCAATGGAAATAGGAATGACTCTGATTAGTCGTTCACGCTTTTCAATTTTGAAATACAATAAAACGTTACAAACCGCAAGCCAGGATTTCTGGCTTCCGGTGGATTATCCCGGAGCCTTTGTTTTCTCGCCAGAGGAATCGCAGACTCGGGAAATGAGATCTGCACTGACCGACAAATTTCATTCGGCGCAGGTGATGTATTTCCTTGTTCAAATGCAAATTACACGGACGATGATCAGTCTCATCTTCTTGATGTATATTGGTGGAGTTCTGGTCAATTGTAATGATGATATTCCATTTTGCCGCAAACACTTGAAAAAACTAAAGGAAGAAATAAGAGACTGGAGAGAAAGATGCTTGAACAAAAGTCGACATGAAATTATTTCACCAAGTTGTGGAGCAGAAAAGGAATATTATAAGGAAAGGATGCGCACGCACAGTAAAATGTGTTTCTATGCAGGTAAAGAATGCTTCACCTCGTCCCCGGAAACATTTATAGCCTTTGTGAAGAAAATTGCTAATGTTTTTGCACCTGTAGATCTTCTTCTCCCGTCTGGAATCCTAACCCAGACTTACAAACTTTCACGCATGCAAAGAGCTTTCTACAGTCCATCACCAAGGTGTTATAACTAAAGTGCATGAGTTTATCCCTCGGTTAATCTGGCTGTTATGTTATATACATAGTTTATGTTTATTATTTCTTCATGAGGAATTACGTCACAACGGAGGAATGCTATATAGCTCTGTATGCCTACCAGATATCATCAAATCATTCCAAGATCTTTTCCGGCATCATCATGGTGGGACTGAGAAAAATAAAATACAATTGTAGTGTCAGAATTACTTTGGTCGAAAAAGTATTGAAATTTGTTTTGTAATGACCTAAAGCTTCCCATAGTTGACCGTAGAAACCCACACATACGATAAGACCTACTTTTGTAAGAAAATTTTACTTTTCTATACACATTTCATACCAAATTCATACATACGCATGTGTTGTTTTGCCAAGCCCTAACTCCCCACATTTGCATAAAATTTTCTCGCCTACTAATAAATAGATTTTTTGTAGGACCCTACCCCGAACCTTACCTACTTGTTCGCCTCCCGACGGGAATCGTGGCGACTGATTTAGAATCCATGGATACCACTGTGCTCATCCGTGGACTAAATACTAACGCATCCCAATATGGTCTGGAGTTTGACTATACAGAAAAGAAAATATACTTCACTGATGCACGGCATATTTATCGGATGAATTTCGACGGTGGAAACAAAGAAATCTTTGCGGAGAACACTGACCCCGTTGATATAGCAATTGATTGGAAAGGACGTCGCATATTTTGGATCACTTCAAAGAACCAGCACCCTAAAATGATGGTTATGAGTTTAGATCGAAAAAACACGATTGCAAGAGTTTTTGTCGACAATGAATGGATGGCATTCCTCGAAATTGATTCTGTCGCCGGGTACGTAAAGTGAGAATTAAGTATAAATTGTACATATTTCATTTAATGCTTGCAAATTCATTAAGACGTGTAAATGACGAAATTTACTCTATTTTGCATGTTTTGTGGTATCGTTATTTGTTAATTATTTGGTTTCAAAATTTTCTTAACTTTTTTTTCCGGTGAGAAATCTTAATTTATCCGCAGCGTGTGATACGATTTCCTACTGAGCCAATTAAAAGGCGCAATTTTAAACAATGACATTTTTATTCTTCATAGATACATTTTTTGGGCTATGTCTTACCATTCAATTGATCTCCGACAAAGACATTTGGTTCGAGATAATAGAAATACGATATTTAAAGGTCTTAGTTACGAATACGTTAAAGATATCACCTTAGACTACCAAAACAAGAGAGTTTACGTCACTACAAGGAGATGCAGGCTGATTGCAATTAATTACAGTAAAAGTAACAAGAAAGAAGTGATTGGATCAGATTATTGCTATCCAGTGGATATGTATGGAACTTTGATTTACTTTCAGAAGATAAAGTCACCGGCGGATAACATTATGGAAATGAATTTGGTCAACAGAAATATATCGCGCAATATTACTTTACCTAAAAACTCCGTTCCAAAACGTTTTATTGTCGTGCACAAATCTCGACAATTTGAAGGTAGGTTATAGTAATGCATCGTATATAGGAGAAGAACATTAATGAAACCTTGCACGGTCGGTAGTTGAGATTGTTGTATTTGGACGACGGGACGGGGCATCAATGGAGGGAAGCTCAATCTGAAATTCTATGATGTAAGCGTGCGTAAAGACATTATTTTGGAATTTAAACGGGGTCATCACCCTATTATATTAACGTTGGAATACAAACGAAACCACTCAAAATACATCTTTAGATAAGTAAAATTTCTTCTACTTTAATATTTTGGCTATAATATAAAAGATATTCGCTTTAATAGTGGTCTTTCGCGGCTTATATACTTGTCGTCTTTGTGTGTATTTTGTCACTCATAATTTAGTCCATATAATAAACAGAACATTACACGAAGATATGCATTTTATGTTCTCGTGACAAAAACAGTATCTCATTGTGTATTGTTTTTGCCACTCGAGCATAAAATCTGTATCTACTCGCAACTGTGTAATAGATATCGTATATCTATACTGATCGATTTGTCGATGGTGACCACTAAAATAGGTTTACCACAAAAATTATAGCATGCACGTAACCTTGAACTACGACTCTGCCTGTGTTTCGCTGCGCTCATTCGTGACAATTATTGTGATACTTATTGTCTCTCGGTCGATAAACTGATATCACCCAGTGAACTCAAATAAGACTTGAACGCTAGCTGTTTGACTTTCCCTCATTAATGATTGAAGCCAAAATGGCGGACAATGAAGCCTCTCTTGGAGGTATAAAACACGCGTGTTTTTTGCGTTGCCTAATCACAAAGGATGCCGGAAACCATGGAAGAAATTTTGTATTTTTTGTATAAATCATACCAGCTTTTTACGCTCCTTCAAACAATTTTCAAGGGAGAGGATATTTCATGAAAAGAATGCAAATTCGACGGAATTTGCTTGAATATTTTTGAAAAAAATAATAAATGTGTTTTTGTTTTCGTCGGGCACGATGTTTGTTTACAAGGTTCTCTTGAACAATGTCATACAGAAATGATTTGCTGTTCCGTTAAGTGTATCCAATGGTTCCTCCCATAGAATACATGCTATATTTTGGGTTGCTGTTATCTAAAAATGTCTGTAAATTGAATCTAAAGAGGAGCTTTAAGTATTGATTAATAACTGCATGCTGCCATTTTCCCTGCGAAATTTCTGCGCCGGAGGATTGGGTCATATCTACAAGAAAGGCTTTATTTTCTGCCATCTTGACTTCAAACTTCTGGCGAAGCTAGTGCGTTCCAGGGATTATTTGTTGGTGGCTAACCAATTAAAACGGAGATTGTGTATACAGTGCTTAATAATACAGTATTATTCACTGTTAGCTACCAACAAATAATTCCTGGTATTCTGTAATTTTGACGTCTAATTGATTAATTTACAAATTTATTCGACTGCTTTACTGCCACTTAATCAGGTGAATAAAATAAAATAATTTCGGTTTTCGCGTGATATTATTTTTATTATGTAAAAATATAATGTATATTGATATATTGATATATAGTTTATAATAGGTACAGAAAGGGGCTAATTTTTCCAATTTATTTTGTAGAAGGTTGTCCTGTTAAAAGTTGTGGCCCCTTACGTTATTGTATAAATAACGGCACGTTCTCGTGTTTATGTGAATGGGGATACACAGATATTGGACAGACATGCACAGGTATAGCTACATATTATACACTACAAATACATGGATACAAAATCCCCTCGCTTGAAGCAATAAAAATATGTTTCCATCCCTAAAAACAATCAATTTCCGTAAAAACAATCAATTTCAAAAGAAACTAATAATTATTATTATTATTATTATAACAGTATTTACCCAGTGAGCCTACATCGCCAAAGCGGTTTTCAGTAGGGCCCTGCTAAAATACAATTATTATATTACATCTATTAAAACTAGTTAAAAAGTTAAAAAGTGCGAAAAGTAAAACGTTCATAACCTAGATTTAAAAAGTTGTAAACTCTGACAGTCTCTTATGCTCTCAGGTAAAGTGTTCCACTCACATGCAGCCTGGTAAACAAACCTTTGTTTACCCCAATTAGTTTTTACCTTCGATAAATATATATTATTTCTAGATCTGGTAAAATGACTATGAATATTATTGTTCATTACAAAGTCAACAGGAAAGTTACTCTCACTCTTTAAACACTTAAACATCGCAGTAAGACGGTGGGACTTTCTACGTTCTAATAAGGGTTGTAGATTAAGGAGAGTAAGTGCCTCGGTTGCTGAACTATACTTTGGCTTATCCAAGATTATCTTTGCTGCTCTGTTCTGTAGAATTTGTAGGGCTTTCATTAGAGTGTCATTGTTTTTGTCTCCCCAGACAGTATCAGCATAATCGAATAACGGAGCTATCAAACTCATATACAAGGTTCTCCTCGCATAGACGGGTAAAAGGGTCTTTATTCTTCGTATTAAACCGATTCTTTGATTTATCTTTTTACTAATTTCATCAATATGATCAGCCCACTTCATATGTTGGTGAATTGTAATGCCAAAATATTTGAATGACTCAACCCTTTCCAGTTGATTTTCTCCGACATAAACTGTAATTTTGTGAACATCCCGGAACTTACTGGAACGGTTACTTCTAAACATCATAAATTTAGATTTCGCGACATTTAGAGTTAAGAGGTTAGAAAGGGGCTAATTTTTCCAATTTATTTTGTAGAAGGTTGTCCTATTAAAAGTTGTGGCCCCTTACGTTATTGTATAAATAACGGCACGTAACTGAACGTGAATATATATGCATGAATATTAGCACGCGTCTTAGCGATCTTTCGTGGTCCTTGCCTATGTGTGTTATTGGGTGCAAACCATTTAAAATTTTGGGATAACTTGCGAACGGTTTGAAAACTTGCTGTTTGGTTTTATTTTAGATATCGATGAATGTATCTCCAGGCCATGCAATTTAAATGTAAGTTCATGCGAAAACACAGTTGGCTCGTACAAATGTTCGTGTAAAAAAGGATACAGTTTGCTCTCGGATGGAAAGACATGTGTGACAGGTACACTATGTATATAGATCATGCAATTATAGATCATGCTTTAAAATTTGTTTTAATCGGGTTTCATTTCAATTTCCTAAACAGTATTCAATTCCAGAATTTGGGCGGTTCGGCCACATGTCGTACGTTTACACACGACAAGTACGTTTACTCAAGGAAAGTCGAAATTTATCCTTTTCCGCCTGTTACACGTCGTATTTTCCAACCTCGCCAGCCGGGCTCTTTTACCTTCGCTCGACGGCCCATGCTGCGGCAAAGACCCTGGTCAAGACTGGTCATGTGACATCGCAAAATCTCCCAAAATATGGGAGATTCTTAATTAGCGCTTAGTTCGTATCCATGGGAGGAGTGGCAAAGTCGATATACCATTTTTGCTATTTTTAACACTTGTCACAGTCCAGATGACTTTGCACTAACGCTACTACAAATAGCGGTTCACACAATAAACTAAACAAGACGCCTGCTCAAGGCGTTCACTCCGCCTGCATGCCAACTGATGTACATAATTCATCCGTGGACCGTGTAACCCAGGGCTTCTTGGTCAAAAATGAAGTTGTTTTGGCTTCCCTGTAGAAATGCCAACTTCTGTCGCCAAAAACTACGGCTACTAAAAGGAAAAAAGACCCTGGCATTTTAAGTCTCCGCTGCGCATACGCAGGCGGAGTAATAAATACAGCTAGTGTGGCGCAGCAAAAAACTCAAAAGAACAATAAACCGAATTTAGATTCAAATTGTATGTGTAGACTGTATCATCGTCGATAGAATCGGTTTTAGTATCGTCACAAGTTCTGTTGACATTCAGTACAGACACTCGAAGGCCTGTGCTAGCTCAATATTCAGGCCTTAGAAACACGCTGTTTTAACTGATGTGATTTATACGCTACTTGTGCCCACCCATCTCCACACGGGAGAAGCGTAACAAAAGAATCACGTGACCAGCCTTGACCTGGGTCTCTGCCGCAGCGTGGGCCATGGCGCGTAGGTAAAAGAGCCTGGCTTGCGAGGTTGCGTGTTTTCATGGCAATTCGTCCTGTTATATGAGGTCTCGAATATGTCCGGTTTATTAGTTCTCGGGTAAAAGGAAGACGGGAAACTGAACGAATTTTAACGTCTGCTCCAAACCGTTTTCGGCTACCGCATAAAAGGTTTCCTAGGATGAGTCAAATTTTAATCTGTTTTCATCATTGCATCATCCTGTGGGAAAACGGATGAGGTTTTTTTACACCTCAGTGACTAAAATATTTATTTCAGAATAAAGTAACTGGTATCATGTATCATGCAGCTATCGACTCATTTGACTTCGCGTCAAATGTGGACCAGTATAACAACTGCTTGAAATGGACAATAACACTTCTCTGATTTATATTCTAATTAAATTTCCTATTTCCTTCTAATTGTGTCTATATTGTCAGTGGAGCATCACCATTGTAACTCGTAACCCTTCGATGGAGCCCCGAACATAATGGTCAATTTAGTATGTACATCGCATTCTTTTAGTTCCTAATGATGACAATTCCTTCACAATACGCTCTGTTTATGGTTACGCCTACATTCATCGTTATGATGTCAATAACTCGGCTGAAGTTCTTGCAATATCAAGCAATTCCCCTCCTGCTAAATTTCGTTTCATAAATCAGAATGTGATACAGGAAATAAGCACCGGAAAATGTATCACAAAAAAGATCAACTACTTCATGGATCTTACCTTTATCTGCGATGGACCCTTTGCTCTCAGATGGCGTTACGAATCCTCTACTGAATATTTAGTTTCTATGAAAGCAAAGCTCTGCTTCGCCGACGTGGAGAGCATCGGTGCCTCCTACTGTCAGACCAGGTTTGGGTCCCTGCGTTTCTAATATTAATGCCGTTTTGGAGGGTTATAAGGATTGACAAGGATTGAGTTTACGAAGTCATATAATTTAATAATTATTACACACAGTGTAAGGGTGTCGGACCGCGTGTTTTTTATGTTACCAAAATTTGGTTTTCGAACGTAATGAATGTTATTGTGCATCTATTAACCATACTTTTAATTAGTTTGCATTTTTATTGTATACGTACGGCTCCATTAAGGGCGTTTGTCTCCGAACATTGAACCTTAGTTTAAACTTTATTAGCCCAATGATTGATAACTTCATTTGAGCTCGTGAGTATTGGAATTCACCGGCCCCTTGTGAGAATACCTATAAAGAAATGTAGAACATTCACAAGATAAATCATACTTGTTTTGATGGGAATTTTTTGACATTGGGGCCGATATACCGACAAGTTATAGTTATCATCCTTTCGTTTTTCCGGCACAGCATGCTATTGTGAGTATGATTACACGACTAACAGAATCGTGTTTTACTCATTTGAAAACCTTCATTTCAGTACCTCAAAGTCGTTACGTTTTCGCTTCATTTGATCTCGGTAACCTGGCTCATGTGAACAACCCCTAAAGGTGATTCTCCATTACCACCCTCTTTACCCGCGCGGGCGAAGCGCCCTTTGAAAATCTGCCCATGCGACCATGCACGGTGCAAAAACAAAGCGCGCTTCGCTCGCGCGTGCGGAGAGGACGTAATAGAGAATCGCCTTAAAACACTTTGACCGCCAAAGACGGAGATTTTCGTTTTTTGATCGATTATCACTAATCGATCTGTCTAGACCATTGACGGTGAAAGTGTTAAGGCTATAGGCCTTGTGTTTAACACGGTTCACCGTCAACAAATGTTCTTTAATTTTAATTATTGGTATATTTAATAGTACGGTTGAATGATAAAACCAGGTAATTTCACTGGACGCTTTGGACAGCCAGGTCTTATCTAAACTTTCTGGAAGATTTTTGCACTTGATTTTTGCAGTGAACACACACTTTGGCGAGGTCTTCCTGCATAATTATAGCTGTACATATACAGGGTGTCCCAAAAAAATGTCCCCTCTATTGAAATCAAGCCTTTGTTCGAATCTGATTGCCTTAATATTATGATAAACCCAATTGAAAGCAAGACGCTTTATTTGAATGCCTCAACCTAATAAATATGCTATTTACACACTACTGCGTTGATCATGCATTCAAATTCCAACAAAAGCTTCATTTCAATAGCGGGGACTTTTTTTGGGATACCCTGTATCTGAATAAGACTGAACATTCTGTAGATTTCCATTGCTAAACCCTGGCTGTTCAAGTCCATTTACACTGAAAACATCAATTTCATCAAAGCTAGACGTGTATGTATATTATAAGACGTGAGTAAATAATATAGTAAGTTTGCACTAAGCCTAGGAGTTAGAAGTGGCATGACCTATGTCTGTAAAATTATGTAAATGTTTGATGTTAATGTTTGATCAGGAATGAATAAAGTGTTAACTTGGTATTATGTTGACAGAAATTTCTGTTGATTTGTGATTTTGTGGTCTGAAGTATCGTAATATTCACTACGCTGAATGATATCACTGCCAAGCAAAGTAGGATTTGGGAATAAGGTGAAAAAGAGCCATCAAATACAAGTATGGGCATCACCATAGAGGCGTGGCATATAACAAGCAGACTAAAAACTTCATCTTTGCTCAGTTGCAATTAAGGTATAGTCCTGGGAACAGGGGCATAACAAGAACGATTTAGTAGGTATTTGTTTATTCATATAATTTATTCAGTTCTGCCAAACGGATTTCTTTTATAAGTGCATTAGTTTGGCCGCTATTTTCGGAGCCAAATTTGAAGATAGTTTTCTGAGTTTTAGAACGTTTCAGACAGACGTAGAGAGTAATTATCTAGGAACGTCTAGAACTGTGTAAAATACAGTCATTTGCTAATTTTCTAAGAATTGAAGTCAAAAGCTCAGTTTTTCAAACAGTTTTTGCTTTTAATTTCTGGCTTCAACCAAATATGGCGCTGGCGTTCCAGGTTTTATTACAGTTTACTGGTTCTGTCACAATATCAAGGTGTAATTCCCAAACTCCGGGTGAAATTAGGTGTAATAATGCAGCTTGGGACTCATTAATATTAATAGGTTAGTATGATGGCACTCATTAGTATATTAGTATAATAGTGTCCTTATTTGCATGTATTAAGTATTAGTGTACATGATAACTAGCTTGTGAATAAAACTTCAGTATTTTTCTTGTAAGCGTTCGTATATATATTACATGGTGGCCGCGGTAAAAGCACGAAATGGAAGGTTTTATTAAACCTAGTCAAATATCCTTTAAAGGGAACATAGCCGTATACCGGCGAAGATTTAAGCAGAAATATGAGATATTTCTTGTAGCGTCATGCTATGAAAATAAATCAAACACAGAGGTTGTATGCTCTTAAATCTCGCAGGAGCTAGAGCAAGTGATCAAAGTATATAACACGTATACGTAAAGCGAGAAAGAAGAACAAGACGATCCAGCTCTTTTGATCAGGAAATTCGAAGCATATTGCAAGCCAAAGAGGAATATAACATACGAACGGCATTTATTCAGTTATTTCAGTACACGTATGCAAGGTGCGAACGAAACCATTGATGCGTATGTTACTGAACTTAGACTACAAGCTAAGAACTCAGAACTGTGAATTCGGCGCTCTTTGTAACGAACTAATTCGCGATAGAATCGTAGTTGTAGTCCGAGATGATGCAGTACGAAGTTGATTACTTCGCGAAGCTGACTTAGATTTGCAAAGAGCTTTAGCTATTGTCGAGCAAGTGAACAGACTCGAAACCATATGGAAGCCTTAAAAATGCAACGAGCACAATTGACGAAGCGATAAGGGACTCGTTACGGTCAGGCATGTTGACTCGAAGACAAACAACAAGCGAACGCCCTACAAAGAGCAACTGGGAAATGTTCAGTGCAAGTACTGCGGGACGTTACATCAACGAGACAAAAACAAGTGCCCAGCAGTTGGAAAGGCTTGTGAGAAATGTGGTAAGCAAAACCATTTTGCCAAAGTATTTGTATAAGTAAAAGTGTGATAAAAATTCTTTCACACATGAACTACATATATGTGGGTGCGTTGGAGCAGCATGCAGAAAGAGATAAACAGTGTTAGCAATACAGAGGAAGAGTGGAATATAACAGTAGAAATTTACAATCAGCCTTTAAAGTTTAAACTGGATACTAGCTAGCACTATACTTGTTTCGTATAGTGGAAACGTGATAGAACTTGAAGGAACAGTCGTATTACCAGTAAACTTTAGAGGCAGGCAGTATCCGCTTGAGTTCTATGTTGTGAAAAAGCAACCTTAGGACTGGAAGCTTGTGAAAAGTTAAACGTTATAAAAAGAGAAGTAGAAATGGGTAAAACTTTGAACTCTGATTGTGATATATTTGTTGAGTAGAAAGATGTTTTCTCCACTAGCAGTATTGGTTGTCTTCCAATAACGTAACATAATTATAGAAATTGACAAGAACGTGAGATCAGTCGTTCATGCACCTAGACCGGTTCCTGCAGCTCTTCGTTCAAAACGCCAATCACTACAACAACAGAGTGGGTCTCATCGCTGGTTACGGTCGTTAAACCAAATTAGATCAGATTGTGCATCGATCTAAAAGATTTTAACGAGGCGGTGAAGAGTGAGTATTATCGAATGAGAATGGTTGAGGATGTTCTGACTAGATTACCTGAACCCAAGTTCCAATGAAAAGTTTATTCCAAACCTGTCTGAAAAAGCAGCTCCATTACGATCTCTGCTGAAGAAGGATGTAGCCTGGCAGTGGAACGATGAGCATCGGAAAGCCTTTCAAATGTTGAAGGGCTTTATCAGATGCCCAACAACGATATGCACAAATAGAAAAAGAACTTTTGGCCATCGTCTTTTCGTGTAACAAGTTCAACCAGTTTATCTATGGAAAGACCGTCTAAGTGGAAACTGACCACAAACCATTGGTGAGTATTTTCAAGATACCTCCTAATAGTCGTCCGATGTCATTGCAACGAATGCTACTTCGCCTGCAACAGTACGATTTACAAGTTACCTACAAGAAAGGCACCGAATTATATGTAGCAGATACTGTGAGCAGAGGTTATCAAGAAGTCGATCCGGACGATACTCTCAAAGAAAAGCTAGTAATACGCATGGTACTGCGAGTTTCCCCGTCAAAGCTGAAATGGTTAGAGGAGGAGACACAGCCGGAAAGATCTAATCTTACAACGGTTGAAACAAGTTATCGCCGATGGGTGGCCACAACGCAAATCCCATCTATCCAAAGCTAGGGGCTATAAAAAAGCTGACCATCTGTGATGACCTCTTCTTCAAAACAAGCAAGATGGTAATTTATTTACGGCTGTGTTGCGGAAAGAAATGCTCAAGATTGTGCATCAACCTCACCTCGGAGTTGAAGCAAGGAAACGACGAACTCGCAAAGCATTATTTTGGCCTGAAATGGACGACGAGATTGAACAGCTAGTCAAATCCTGCAGCATATGTAACCAAAACTAGCCACAGTAACCATCCGAGCCACTGACGCCCCACCCGACTCCGTCTAGACCGTGGCAGCGCATTGGAGTGGATATCTTTACGTTTCATGGAAACATGGACGGATCTAGGATTTTTCGCACGTCAGTCAAAATTATCGAAAGTGAAAACGGGGAGGTGGGTCAATTGCCCCCCCCCCCCCACGGAATAATGAAATTTCAAAAATTATTAAGTTATCATCTGAACCCGAAATTTATACAAAAATTATGCGCGAAAAGTACGCATTAAAAATGTTTAAAGTTTACTGAGCCTTCAGTTTTAATAGCAGAAACATGTGTGTTGAAATAACGGGCAATAATAGGAAATTACATTCATGGAATAAAACCATGAATACGGTCAATTTGTAAGCCTGAATAATATTCATAACTGTTACAGCATAAGCTAGTATTGCTCCAAGCTATGCTACATTCCAAATATTATGTGCTTAATGCCGCTTACACTTTACAGTAAGAGTCAAAGTAGGGAAATACTGTTTACATTATATATTTTTAGATATAGGGCCGGTTGTTCGAAAGGCGTTTAGCTTAAACGGTGGATAAGTTCAAAATGGAAAACAAAATGATCTATATATTGAATAACATAACTGAAAAATTTCGATGTAAATAATTTAATTTTCAATGGAAGTGCATATTTAATGCAAAAGACGTAGGTTCAGTCATTCACAAGATGTATGAGAGTATTAATTTTTAAACTTTGGCTTATGCACCGTTTAAGCTAAACGCCTTTCGAACAACCGGACCCAGGCTACCATGAAATGGGCACGGCTACCCATTTTAGCCGTGCCGTGGCAATAAATCGAGTGTGGTGTAAACGGGCCTTAAATTCCATCTAAAAACGAGTATTCGGGACGAAACCCTTGACATTAAAACCCCCATACTGCTCTATCTCTATATTTGTGCTGTCATTTTTCACTTAAACTGTAATCAATTATATTGATTGCGAATGGCCAATAGTGACATTTATCCCCATTAATTTGTGTGAAAAAATCAAATACTTATCCCACGTCACGTCCCCGTTTATACTATACCGGATTCACATGGTCACGAAATGAGGCAATGATGCTGTCAAGTTTTTGGGTTATAAAACTCCCTCTGACATGGCTAATTTTGATGCCATGACAATGCGAATCTGCTATAAGTGTAAACAGGGCCTAAGTGATCTATTCATTTGCATTGTTCTATTTTTACAATCTAAATATAAAGCTTAACACAGAGCATATTTTGGGCAGGGCGGATATAAAAATATTTTGGGAACGGGTTAAAATAACCCAGAGATCCGAGTACCAAAAAAGTCATAGTTGAAGTAATTTCGTTCCACTGCAATGAAATAATGCATCTTGGATGCTCATACTGTATATCCATAGTATGAAAATGGCATTTAGTAAGGATATTGTAAACTCCATACTATTTCCATAACATGGATTT